ACGGGCCCAGCCGCTCCGCGGCATGTGGGATCTTCCCGGACCGGGGCACGAACCCGTGTCCCCTGCATCGGTAGGCGGACTCGCAACCACTGCACCACCAGGGAAGCCCTCATTGACAAATTTTATACGAATATGACCCTTGAGAATGAAAAGGGGAGCTTTTCTAACTGCATCAGCGCAAGAGTATAAACCAGCGTTGTCCCGGGTACACCCTGGCATATGCTCACGCTTTCTAAAAACCTAAACGCCTGAACTGGACTTCTAAACGAAGGGACAATGCTCTAGGTAACATTTCCCACCAAAGCATCCTGCCTTTTCTCCCACAAATTCGCACAGAAAAGAAAAACTAAGCGGATGGGGAGGTGAAAAGAAAATTCCACTCAATCACGTTATGCACAGAAAGAGCACCTCGTGGGTCCTGAGGCGTCTCCCTGCCGGACAACCGAGCCCCTAAATTAAATGAAAACCAGGCACACCAGCGCTGGCTTCGTAGCTCAGCTGGGCATCTTACTGGCCCAGGCATCTCCACCTTTCCCAGTCTCGAGTTACCCTGCTGGAACCCGGGGACACCGCCCCCCAGAACGGCCGCGAGGAGAAGGAAGAAATGCTCGCCCCTGCTCAGCACTCAGCCTGGCAGGTAGGAGGTAAGGAGACGGCCCTCAGGGTGATAACAAGCACAGCGTAAGGGCCCACAGCACCGGGTTCGAGTCCCAGCTCTGCCCCTGGCCTACCAACGAAATGGGCGGGTCCCTTCGCCCGTCCTCAGCCCCGGGACACGAACGCCCACCTCTCCGGAAGCGGCCCGGCGCACCGGACACTCAGGCAGCGCGGCTGCAGAGGCAGCTTCCCTCACCCGGGGAGGGAGGGCGGCCACTGACCTGCTTGAAGGTGCTGGTGAGGAAGTAGACGAGCGAGAGCCCGAAGACCAGGGCGAGCACCCACCTCTTCCGCAGGAGCCGCCGCCACACCATGGCCGCCAGGTTCACCATCCCGGCGCGGAGCGGGACAGGCCCGGGGCCCGGGCGGCATGGCCCCTACGCGGCCGGCAGCCCCATGGCTCGCGGCGGGCGCCGGCCCCGCGGCCCTCAGCCCAGCCAGCTCCCGTCAGCCACCCCGCGCCTCCCCCACGTGACCTCGCCCCACACACCGCCTGCACACCTCGCGCGTCACCCGCCGGCCTCGCTCGGCCTCCTCCTCATTGGTCCCTGCATAGCGGCGGCTTCCTATTGGCTGAATTCCGGGAAGGGGGCGGGCAATCGTGTGCGTGCGGCCGGTGGAGTTGTTGCCCGGGTCTCAGCGCCGGGCGCCGCGACCTGAGAAAGAACCTGGGGAGAGGCCGGAAGCACTCGGAAGTCAGGTGCTCCCCGGGCCGAGCGAGTGATTGGCTTGGAAGCACGAGAATGATGCCACTGAGATTGCCGAATCGTCTGGGCAGGTAAAAAGATAACGTTATTTTTTTCCCCCCGGTATGGTCAGCGTAATCTCCTGCCCTTTCAGTCCTGGGGCGTTTCGCGGTAAACTTTGGTTGCAGGAATGAAAAACGCTTGCAGCATTGTATACGGAGCGCACCTGCCTGCTTCCAGTGCATGTGATGCAGGAGATGCTCTCTTGCGTGCATTTCGGTGCAGTCATATAACGGCTCGGGGGTGCAACTTAAAACCTCTCATACATTGAAAACTCTGGTGAAATCCTCCTTAGGGATGGAGCGCGATGTATGGAGCAGAGGGTAAAAAGGCATTTCATTCAGTCATTCAGCTGCATCCCACGTGCAAACGTTTTATTACAGAATTCGATATTGGAATAATTATGTACGGCCTGCTGCCAACACAGGACCTGAAGCCCCTTCGAAAGCAAGCACCTGAAAGTGAAATCTTGGGTATTTTATTTAGGGGGCTGTGTCAAATTTATGGATGGAAACTTGAGATTCTGTATTTTATTTTCCCCAAGGATTTGCTGGCGATGAGGAATCATTGCGGGGGGAGGGGGCATTAAGGCGAGATTGCAAGTTCTTGAAACAGATTTAGGGGATGAGCTTTCCTTCATATATGAAGATGGTGCTACTGACCCATCTTTTGGCTGATTTTCCAAATGAGAAAGGAGGCTTAGCTGGTGGGTTGTCTCGCTAATCAGTGGCCCTGGTAACACCAGTGCTGTCCCCTGAAGAAGGCTGGTCAGGATCAGGAAGTCACTCAACAACCCGTATGGCACCCTGAACTAAGAGCGCCATCTTTGGTCCTGGTACAAAAACAAATATTCAAGGAAACTAAACCAACTCATGAAAAGTCTCTGGCCTTTATTTCTTCTCTAGAGTGAGAGGTCAGGGAGGGAACAAGGGACGTAGAAAAAGGTAAGTGAGAGACCCATTGATGTTTTGCTCATTGAGTAAATACTTGTTGAGTGCTACTCTGTGCCAGGCAGCGTTCTAGATGTGGAAGCAGAAGGGCAAACCAGGCAGGCCGATCGTGTCTTTTGTGGCATTCACATTCTAATGGAGGACAGGCCATAAATGAATATGCAAACATGTAAATAAATGATAAGTGCTATGAAGAAGGTAAAACGGGGCAATGTATGTTGGGTCAGGAGGGTGAGAGGAGAAGGCCTCTGGAAGGAGGTGACATTTGTCCTGAGGGAGCTAGCCAGAAGGAAAAGCATTCTAGGGAGAGGGAACAGCAAGTATAAAGGCCCGGAGGCAGGGACAAGCTGGCACGTTTGAAAAACGAAAAGGCCAGTGTGGTTGGAGGAGAGTGGAGGCAAATGAGGTTGGGAACAGGTGAGGCCTGCAGGCCAGGAACAGAGCTTGAATTTTATTCTGATTGCAGTGGGTAGCCTGCGGAGGGCCTTAAACATATTTCCTGTGTTCCCCAATCACGACTCAGAGTCTGACAATAGGACAAGATATTAATACATTCAGATCATAACGGTCCTCAGGAGTCCCAACAAGGGATCAATGGAAGGCTAACAAGGGACAAGGAGGCAACAGAACCATCTGCTTATAACTACCCATGAAGCCCTAAGACTTATTCTCAGGTTCAAGGCATCCCATGGACTATTCACTTAAGTGTTCTATTCCATCCAGGGTTTGGAGCCTCTGATAAGCTCCTGTGACCCGTGCATCCCTTTGGAGAGGAAGAAGAGGGAGAGGCCTGCTTTCTCTGGAATCCAGTGGTCACATCCCCACCTGAATGCCCACCTCAGGTGTCGTCAACATGGAGTTCTGAAGTCCCTGTGGTTCCTCACAGTGGACCAGGTGACGTGTCTCCATGAGAATTCAGATCTTCGTTACCACTGTATTAAATGTGAGGGCTGGAAGGAAGCTTTGGGTTCAGACACTTCACCCCTCTCCCATTTAACCTATGGGAAGCCTGAGGCCACAGAGAGGTTACCAATTTGTCCAGGGTCACACAGCAAATTAGGGGTGGCATCGGTCCAGGATCCATGTTTCCTAACTGTCTGCAGCTCACTTGACCTCCTCCAGCACCTCTTTGCTTTACAGTTCACTTCTTTCTCCTCTGACATGAGAACTTCCTCCACCTCCGGTCTCATCCTTCTCATCCATGAAATGGGCTGATGACACTTTCTTCATGGGACAGGGTGTTGATTTGAGGGTTGAATGGCATAACAGACTGAAACACAGTTTGCAAAATGTCAGAGAGCTCTAGGGAAGTAAGATACAAGTAGTACTTGTTTATGGTTACCATGGTGATCTGACAGGCACTGAGAATATTGGGAGACTCTGGCTCATGCATGTGTTGACTTTTAGGTCTTAAGGAAAATGCAGAGACGCCACAGCAGCAACACGGATAACGTTCCACCTGAAAGGTAGGCATCCCCTCATTCCATCTGAGGCTCTGAGCTTCAGGTGGTCAAGGGCAACCCAAAACTGGCTGGAGTAATACCTGCCCCTCAGGGCTACTCGTTAGAAGAGCAGAGGAGATCTGACTGGACACTGCTTTGCACGGCAATGGCCTCATATCCTCAACACGTGACAGCTTGCTGTTGCTCTTATGGTAATTCTCAAAGCCTGTGCAAACAGTGATCCACTTGACTCATTGTATCAATGATTGTACCCAGGGGATTTTAATTTATAGAGGTGTCTGAGTGGCAACATGGAGAGGAGGATGACATTGAAAGAAGATTTTTATTACTTGCATTTTCCAAGATAAGGGGGCATGTCACCCTATGCAGGGCCACATGGGGGAAGCACCGGGGTCAGCCAGGAGGCAGAAAGGAGCAAAGGGAAAGCATAGGTCACAGCTTTTATTGTGTTTTCCACACAGAGTAAGGCAGGGGAGGGGAAACAACTTAGGATTGACTAGTTTGAATAATGTTGGTGGACTCTAGGCTGTAGGAGTGGTCTCTAGTTGTCTGTACCTGGCCCTGAGTGATTTGGGGCAGAGGAAATATTGGCTGAGAATGGGAATTAGATAAAGGAGGTGGTTAGGGATGTGAGCTCTGGATCACAGGGGAGTTGTAAACAACTTTGGCCATTAGTTTGACCCTATAATGTGCAGATGCCAAATAGACAAGTACAGAATCTAAGAAAACGCAGTTAAAACACTAATAAGCTAGAACTTCCATCTACTTAAGCCAAAGAGAGTACAGACCATGGGGACCTGTTCTCAGGTTGTGACAGTCTCCCAGCCACAACCCCCTCACCATGCTGGACCATACATCCAAGGAACAGGCAGCCAAGCTTTTCCTCCCTTGCAGCCCATTTCAAGTCCCCTGCAATTCTTGAGATTGGCCACACAATCACGAAGTACCCACCAGTCCAGTATTGAGTTTTCCATCAAGCCTGCCTGTTCTGCAGGGAAGGGCACTGGCCTTAAGTCAGACAACGCTTGGCCAAAATCCCAGCTCAGCCACTTCCCCCTTTGCTGCCTTTGGCAAGCACTTTCACCTCTAGGCCTCAGTTTCCCCATCTATAAATGGCAGATAGCAAAACTCAGGTTTGCTTATGAATGAGTGAATGAGTGAAGATGCACAAACACGGAACCCAGCATCTAATAAGCATGGCTGTTGGAGCTTTTCCAGCCTCTGAAGACAGAATTACTCTTTGCTCTCAAATGAACGGTGAGGGCTTTGAGGACAGAGACCATGCTGGAGAAATAATGGCCACTGTGTATTGTGTGCTTATTTGTGTCACCCTCACATTAGCCTGTGGACGTGGGGACTGTTTTTATCACCATTTTATCGATGAGGAAACTGGGGCTCAGAGAGGGTAAGTTACCTGAAGTGACAAAGCCAGGAAGTGGCAGGACTGAGATTCAGGCCCTGGTCCATTTGACCCCTGCAAAGTCTGTGCTTTGAGATACCACATTTCATCTGCCTCCTATCTGGGTGGATTCACTCTTCTCCCGGGCTACCTCACGTTCTAGCCTTCAAGTGGTTAAGTTGGAAGCTCAGCCTCTGCCCCTCAAGGAATATTCTTTCCCATTTAGGCCCAGAGAAGGGAGGCCAGCTATACAAAGGTCCTTGGTGGGTTGAGTCTTCCCTGGTTGTTGTACTGGAGACCCCCTGAGGCCAGTGGACTCAGAGTGCTGGCAAGCTCAAGGCAGACAGGAGGCTTTCCAGGTCCCTGTGGGATGGTGGGGGAGAGAGGGCGGCCACTGTGGGCACCTTCCAGGACTCCTGCTTTCTGAGCTCAGCTTCTTGAAGTGCAGAAAAAGCTCAAGCCCCCTTGACGATCATAGCCATGGTGTTAGTTGTTGTTGTCATTATTAATACTATCTTTATCATTATCCCAAACCCAAGAGAATAGGACCACTCATTTCCTGGGCTTTTGGAGCCAGGAGGGATGGGCCATGGGTGGTAGGGGGGTGGGTAACCATCTTCAAGTTCCCTCCCTTGCTGGGGTGGTTTATGATAACTTACCCCCAGCTCAAGTTTGTAAGGCCAGCGAAGCCAACCCCAAGATTTCTCCAGACCGGCATCTCCCCTGCTGGGTTTCACAGGTATTCTACAAGATTGAATAGGTTTTCCATGGAGGAAAATAATCCCATGGTCAAATAAGTTTGGGAAACACTAGGTTTAACAAAGTTAATTTTTTCAGTTGCAGGCCTTCTCAGAGCCTTTAGTATGCTTATTCATTCACTCTTTCAAATAACATTGAGCATGTTCT